GGTAAATGTATTTCTACCTTTTCATCCTCAGCAAGTTTTTCTAGGTAAACAATCAGTGGTTTTGAATACTCTGCCAATGTAGTGACACTGTTTGTATCTGACACATCAATGCCAGATCCTGTGAGGTCTAATGCAATAGGAATAAGCCCCACTTCCTCCAATAGAGCAATAGTTTTGTACCAACACCAAGCTCCAAACCCTGCTCCATGTATCAGAATGATTTTCTTTGACTTAATATTCTCTAGAAAGTCAGGCACCTGCAACATACATATAATATAGTGAAAAAGCTATTAGGAATAACATTATTAGAAAGGGTTATCCATTTTAAGAGGTCAAAAGGTTTAGCATTAACGTATCTATGCAAAAGAGGAGCTTAAACAAACAAGAGGAAGGGGAATTATTGGTGCTTAGGAATTTAGCTAAAAGATTAAACATTCAGGCAAATGTTTTAGTTCAGAGTAAATGTAACCAGTGTGCTAATATTGACATATGTTGATGCAACTGAACTTTTCTTTTTCAACCTTTAAGCAAAAATGAAACAGGAAATATGCTGAACACTTTTGACTGGCATTTTTTATAGACAACTTGTGGCAGAGGCCAATTGAAAATTCAATAACCTACATGTCAAGGTCTTTGAGGAGATAAACATTGAGAGGAACAAAAACCTAACAAAGCTTATTCATTTAAATACAAAACTGCATGCATGAATCATGTTTGAAACTCAAGGAGAAACTTATAGACACAATTTGTAAACATAGAATCTCTATAAGCACTTTCATGTTCAAATTGGGATGATATAATTCCATTTTCTTTTTTGCTTTAAATTCCATATCATCAACGGACGGTCCTTTTATCAGTCTTTCATAGACCATGTTTGACATGCTCACTATCAATCAAGAATAGAACAGAAATGACGCCTGAAATTACCCCTTATCAAAAATCAGAGTAGTCACAGCATGAGAATCACAGAGCTATCAGTCTTATAAATCACTATATAAAAGTGCACATCATGAGATCCTTTTTCTTCCTTACTAACTTATACCAAGACATATAAAAACTGAATTTGAAATTAAGAAACTGCTTAAAGCACTGTGAATCAGCTACATAATACTTTTCCAGATTCACTTTTCGGATTTTCCAACAAAAAGCAAAAGAAACCCTTCTCTCCTTTTTCTTTTTGAGCTTTTAAACCTTTTTTTTTTTTTTTTTATCAGCTTGAACATGGACTAATGTTACTTTGGAACAAAATCGTCAATTTTGTGGCCATTAAAACCCACTTTTCCGTCAAAGATCGAATCATCCCAAATCCATAATTAGGACAATAATTGCACACGAAAACAGTCAAAAAAACAAAAAGTGAAGCAAGTGATTGTTAGACTGTTAATGAAATCCAACCTGTTTTCCATTAGAAAATCGATCGGAAAGGTTGTGCCTTCGAGAGCTGGTCGACCCAATTCTTCTAGACATGGATCCATCAAATCTCTGAGACAACTGGTGCTGGTGAAGCGCCATAGACAGAGCTTGCCTGTGTAACAACTCCTCCTCTGCAAGCAATTTCCTCTGAGAACGACCCATTCTCTTGCTCCTGGATCCAACATCCTTGCTCTCTTTCTTCTTCATACAAATGAGGCCATTACCCATTATTCAAGACAAGATTTTGAACAAAACCCAGAAACCCTTTGACAGAGAATTCAAGCAAAATTAAGATTTAAGAGAATTTCAGAATTCCAGGAGAATTGTGGCGTCAGTGGAGGAAATTGAAATAATCTTCTTCTGAAAAAGATGAGAGCTGAAAATTTTATACGGCGAGATTAGTGGAAAAATGAGATGAGAGATAACGTTGGTGCGGGCAGAAGAAAGTTTATAAGTGCATAAACAATGTCAACTTAAATCCCAACTGAAACTGATTTAAACAGGTACTTACTATTTGTTTATTTTTCTTTCTTGATGTGACTTTCAAGTTTCAAATTTCAATGCCCGTATTGTTTTCTCGAGAAAATGGAATTTTCTTGGTGTGGACTAGTTTTAGTTGGTTTTTTATTTTTGACCATAGTTTCTGTAAAGCTGAGAACGTGCGAAAGTGGGTGCTGGATGAAAATTTCTTCGTGCGAGGAGATATTTGTAACATTAGTCAAAAAAATAAATTTTTTTCACTTTTAACTCTATTATTAGTACGGAAGTTTAATTTTTTTTCAAAAAAAACAAACAATTGGGAGAAACAGAACAAGGAAAAATCTTATCTTAGCCGTAACCGGTAAAAATGGGTTTCTTTGAACTGATTAAAAAAAAGAGCCTAATAGCACCTGACCCTTGCGGTCTAGGGTAATAGCCACTCCGGTACATTTCTTCTTTTTTGGGTTGGATTGGAAACCGCCCCTTACAAATATGTTCAAAAAAAAAAGAGCCTAATACTAAGTAACTTGTCAATTTCAATTTTAATGTTCCTATGCATGTCGTTTTTCTCCTCTTGTTTTCTTTCATCATGAGTCATGGTTGTTTCATCAACCAAAGGAAGTAAGACAAGATACACATAGACCTTAGGGCCCATCATTTTCAAGTTTCAACTGTAGAGGAGGGTGAATTGAGTGATTCTTCCTAATGCTTGATTTTGCATTTAGTTGGTGTTTAATTTGCAGTGTGATAAAACTCCTATTGTTAAATAAAAGGATAATTTTTTAATATTAAAAAATTTATTTTAATATTATAATTAATATTTTTAATTTAAATAGGAACTAAATAACATAGATTTTTTAGTAAAAAAATATTATATAATTTATATTATATTAAATTATATAATATTAATTATTAATAAAAAATTAAGTTAATATTA